TTTTTTTTTTTTTTAGTTCTCTGGGATGTCTGCTGCCTCTGCAGGGTGGCTGGACTGTGCAGCAGCTTACTCTCTTTGCAGGAAGACATGGCTGTTCAAAAACTTCCAGATTTAAAAAAAAAAAAAAACAAAAAACAAAAAACAAACAGCTGCTCCCTGGTTCAATATTCTGACTAATTTTAAGGGTTTTGAATAGCTTTGTAGGACTGTGTTTGCACAGCACCATCAATTCCTGGACCAGGACAGTGTCAGAAGCTGTTGCAGCTCGCTCCGGCGGTCCCCAGGGGAGGGCAGCCCCTCCGAGGACAAGCACAAGCTTCCGTCAGACCGTAGGGCACAACTAGAAAAAGATCGGTAATAAGTTTCATGAGTTAGTCACCAGAGAAATAGACGTATGAGTTATATACAGCATCTTCTGGAGAGGAGGAGGAGGTGGCTCGTAGATGGGAATTCATTAGCAGATGGGAAAATAAGAGCTCCAAACTCAACACTTGATTAATACATAGAGGGGGAATTGGGAGCAGAAGACAAAAGACTCTGAAGCAAAAAATGCCCCAGAGGAGGTGAGGAATGTGTTGAATTAAAGCTGCAAGAAACTGCGCACAATAAGATGGCAGCGTTTTGGGAGACCTAGCAAAACTGCTGAAATGGCGGGCGGGTATTAATTGTTTTTTGGTCGTGTTACTCCCTCATCTGCCGCAGGTAGCGAGCGAGTTGGTAGGCAAAGAGGCTCCAATTTATAGCCAAGACTCCAATATTAATGCAGATTTTATTTCATCTGCTGTTAGCTTCCTTTGTCTCTTCTCCAGACAAAGGAAATAAACTCTCTACTTAGAAGGTTACAGTCACTAATTTATTTGAATTTTTGGACAGTACTCTAGATGTGCTACCGCAGTTACTTAAGCTGTGCTGCTAGAATCAAAATAGACAGTGTTTTTCACTTTTTTTGGCATAGACTTTGGAGAGCATTAGGCAAAAGTATTATGGCACGCTAATGACATTTCCCAGCATTCACTGAGTACAAATGCTTCAAATAATTTGGGAGCCAATTCTATTTCAGAAACTAATCCAACTGTACTCAGCAGCGTAGAAGCCAAAACCATCTGA